GATTACGGCATTGCGTGACTGTGAGAAATGGTGATATTAGTAGGGGCCAGTCCCCTCCCGGTCGAACCTTCCCACACGGGATACGCTTCTTGTTTGTCTGTCTCGTTTCGCTTGGGAGGTGGTTCGAGTTAGAAACAATGAACGAACCTGACCCCTTCTTGGCGCCAGGTGCACGGATCTGTTCACCCGGCCCCTCGAGGTAGCCGCGATGCGACTCGCGCGAGTCACGGAATCGCGCCGCCGCTCCGGATGTCGGGCGATCTCAAAGCGTATACGCCGATCGTGCGCAGTCGGGAGAGCTCTGATCACGCACGCTCTTTACTGCATCTCGTAGTCCCACTCGTGGTCTTCACAGTTTTTAGTTCTGCACCCTGTTGACTGTGCAGTAGCGGCGCGGCACTTTTTAGGCTCCAAAGTACACGAAGTGGGCGCTTGGAGAATAGCGGTATCCTTTATGTCGCCTTCCGATCCGCTCCGTGGTGCTCCGCTAATCACACGCCTACCATGTAGTATTGCGGCGCTTGTGCGCCACTCGTGGCCCTATCACTGCGGCTGATTATTGATGGCTCATGCACTGCACGTGGAAGATAACCATGGGGGAGTATGGGGAAGCACCCTTAGCACCTACTCCCATGTCCTGCTCGCGCATGCAGTTTTGGACCGCGGGAAAACCGCATATGCTAGTTGCACGATGCGGATCCACTCACGTCACACGATCGAAAAGATGTCTTTGCAGGCAGGCACGCCATCGTTTGATGATCACGAAGGGGGGGGGGGGGGGGGGAGGGTCGTGCTTGGCGCAAGGGAGGGGGTCGTATTTGGTGCTGAGAAAAACTTTTTTTGCTAGTTGATTTCTCTTGTTTCCAGCGGACGGTATAGAGGGGGGATCGTACTTGGCTGTTTGTTGAGAAGCAAGGACTTCCAAAGATTTAGCAGTCGTCACTCCTTAGCAGCTTGCTAGGGGCGTGTCGCGAGACGGAGCGTGCACATGTTTGAAGCCCTTCACCATGCCTTTTCGTTGAAAGCGGCGTATGCGACCATAATAAATAACTCAAAGATATTTCGAAACTTCCTTTAAAATTAGGAGGGCGTTATGTACACAAAGGAAGAAAGAAGGAAAAGAGAGAGAGCAGGATCAATAAACATATACGCACATAACCCCCTCCCGCAGTAATTTCACCCTCAGTAGCGCGATCCAAGCGATCCGATCGCGCGATCGCGAAGTCTGAACGCGCTCTAACACATTACTTGGAATGTGTGAGTTTTGAATCTGCCAAGGCTAATTGTTTGCCCCATAATCCTCGCTGCCTTCGAGAACGTCTACCTCATCCGGTAGGAACCGCTGCATTGAGTTCCATAGGGGTCAGTAGACTCAGAATTTTAATCCTATTGCTCTTGAATTCATCCAATATTTGAAGAATATTGTGGAATATCTGAAGAGCTTCTATGACTTTGAATGAGGTTGTTCAGGTAGCCCTGAAGAAAGTTCGTGTCGATAGCAAAATGAGCGCTCAAATGGGAATTTCTGACTCTGCCCTTCGAGAAATCGTTCTGCTAAAGAAATTGAGGCACGAGAACATCGTGGAACTGAAGGAGGTGGCAGTGTCACGAGACCCCCAGGGAATGTTCCTTGTCATGGAGTATTGTGAGCAGGTTTGTGCGAATCTATTCTTCTTGACCACTTCATGTATTGCTTTTAATGTTATACTTCAGGACCTCGCAAAGCTTCTTGATGAAATGGTGCATCCCTTTACGGAACCACAAGTGAAATGTCTCATGCAGCAGTTATTCAGAGCGCTCAACTACATGCACAGCCATTATGTGCTTCATCGGGACCTGAAGGTTCCTTTGTGTGCGCTTGATCACTAACGTTTACTCAGCTCCTTTGGTTAGTAATTTAGGTATCAAATCTGCTCCTTACCAGTCACGGTATACTGAAGGTTGCCGATTTCGGACTGGCAAGAGTCTTCGGTGATCCTGACATGAGTATGACTCCGCGAGTAATAACTCTGTGGTTGGTATGCTTTTCTATTCGTGAGTACCCATGAGACACCTTAATGAGTGTTTTCTTCTAGGTATCGATGCCCTGAACTGCTTTTTGGCAGTAAAACTCAAACGGCTGGTATAGATCAGTGGGCAGCCGGTTGTATCTTGGGCGAACTCCTTCTTCATCGACCTCTTTTGCCAGGAAAAAGTGACATGGAACAGGTGCTGTGGGTGTTTTGTCCCTCCATAAAGGGTTTGCGACGGATACAACTCACTTATGTGACAATACCCTGTCCAGAATCTTACCCGACGAGATTAAACTTAAATTGCATGTTTTCCGCCAAGGTGTAGTGTTTGTGAGTACCAACTCATGGTGAAATGAGCACACCGGTAGTTTGTTTTGTACAGAGGTGGGTTAGCCGGAGATATACGCTTGTATGCTCAAGAACTTGTTACTCTATGCGGGTGAGATATTCAAAATTTGCCTGAACAAGTCGCGTGGTGCCGGTAATGAACGTTTAGCCTATTGCAATATGGCTATCCAGCAAGTGGCGGTAACGTATGAGAAAACGTGGACCTTTGCGAGAAGTGCTTCAACGCGCCCTCTCAGTCTTAACCCTTCCAGTCCGGATATGGATTCCACCAACCTTGGTGGATGTCTGCTTTCCGCTCGGAGGAATTGTGTACAACGAGATATATTGGGTAGTTAGGAGTTCTGTGAAGACTATTTGTTAGAAATTTTTCTCGCTTGGAACGCTTGATAACCTCGTGGGCGACGTTCATTTTCACTCCACTTTCCAATGCTTTTTTAGAAGAGTGTGAAGTAGACGCGAGGCTTAAAGGATCTGTGTTTGCTTGATGATACCTCATCCACGCACTGAAAGGATAGCGCGAACGAACTGGTCATTTTAATACTCGAACTTTTATAATCGGGACGGATTTTTTGTGTATACCCTGTGTAGTTTGTTGTAAAGCTTTTATCATTCCTGGCTCTAATGCTAACAGTTTAGGCAAAGTGCGCAAACAGGACGAGCGGCGGCTTTCCCAGCGCCAGCATAAACACAATTGCTAGAAACATATCTTCACCAAAAGCGCCAAGGCAGTTACCGACAATATCCTTTTTCAGTTGCTTTCTGAATTAAGATGTACCATGTTCCTAGAATGTCATTAAATGAATTTTCACAATTGGGAAAAAATACTATGTAGACTTTAAGACTCTAAGCTCTCACGCAGGTGAACTGAGAAGCTCAATTCTGAAAATGCGCGTGAAAAGAGAATATCACTTGTAGGAGTTAGTGAGTATAAGTACGAGTATTCAGGCACGCATACTCAGTTGGCCATTGAGGCCTTTACAGAGTTGGATATACCTTTTCAACATGAGAGTTTTTTGACAAGCAAACCGGCCAGGGACCAGTCCCGCCCAGGGGGGTTTTTTTCTTAGGATTTCCTTTTTTTTTTTCAGGTTTTGAGTCGGACGTCGGATGTGGCATCCAAAATACGAATATAACTTTTTAATATTTTGTATAAGAAGTAAACGCCGACCTTGGGCTCCCCCATATCAATACCTAGAGCTGGGGTTATATGGATGCCACAGGCCGTCCAGTCAGGCAGGAAGTTTTAACAGTAGTGAGGGTCGTTCCGTCCCGTTATGCTCTCTTACACAATAGACGTGCCCATAAAAGAAGAATTGCTTACCACGGGTTTTTGGGTCTTTTGGCTTGTTCCAATTCAAAAAGCCCAAAAATTTGCTGGGGCACACGCGAGGATATTTGGAAACTTAGGTTTTAGATTTGGGAGACCCTTCGTCTCTTAGTGTTTCTTTCCTAATAGCTGAGACTCCTAAAATTTGATATTGTTTGCTAATTCTGCGGATACTTATTAGGACGCTCCTAGCGCAATTAATATTCAAATTTATCCGTCGAACATCACATAACATGAGTGCGTGCGGCAGTCTTTTGGAACAGATTTTAACTTAGCCCGTAATTTTTCTCGGTTTGACTTTTAGTGTATTTCCTTTTCCTGGTTTGCTTGGAAAGAACTACCCCTCCATAATCGAAATCTCACAAATCAGTTGTTGGTTTACTGAAGGGATAATTTTTCGTATCGAGAATGGTGCTTCAATAAACAAGCAAGGAGATTTTAAATCGGACGCATAGCCAGCCTGCTTGAATATCCTTTCATCTTTCTGTGCTGTCAGGTGTTTCAGAGGCTGCAGAGGCAGTGTGGACCCCTTATTTTCCGAAAGCTGGAAATTTGTCACCGCTGGGCACTCACCCAAGTAGGATTGTTGACAGCCGTAGCCTCTTGCTTCTCCACCCGATTGAAATTTTACAAGATGAGATTGTTATATTGTTAACTTACGTATCAGTTCGATATTTGATGCGCATACAGCTTAACGTACGGGGTTTTCTTCCGTGACACGTAACAACTCAGCCCCAAACGGCAACCGAAAAATTCATAGCGTCCTGAAAACGATTTAGCCTGCCTTTTTCATCTCGAGCAAATGAATCTTGATTCTGAGAATAACTCCTGCAATATGCCTGTCATTTACTCTGAAAGGCCGTTCGTAACTTTTAAAACGGCAGCGCGGTAGTTAATAATGTTTAAAGGGTTCTTTTTCTTTCTCTTCCTGGGCATAATCGTCGTCAGAACTTTAAGGGATGACTGTATGGCATATTTGCCTGCTTTTACCGTTCTGTGTGTTATGTGTGAGAGAGAAATTAGTCTAGAGAGAAAACCAACAAAGTATAAGTTAGAATACCTAACTCTGCCGCTCTCAAAATAAAACCACTCCAGGAAGAAATCAAAGGTAGTACGTGCAACACAGTACGAACCACAGCCACTTCCTCATTTCACTCAACAAGTTTGAAGAATAGGAGCTACGTCTATGTGCATTGACATAGCCACTCGACTCGTTTAGTGAACTCGATCAATACTTCAGAATATTTATCATTAATAATAATATATTAGATAGCAGATCAGAGAAAAAATCTAGAGGATGGTTCCTCAGGTTAGGTCAGAAACTTTGACCACTTTCGTAAAGAGTTCTCCTAACAATGACTAAGATGGCAAGGAGATGAGTGTCTCTAACGCGGGAATAAAAGTAGGATACTGTACAAATACACACACGACTCACCGTTGCAGCCTTTTTTACTGCCTCGCGTTCATCCAGGTTTGGCCACGTAACCAGGCGTTTCTGGCTAGTTGCGCGGATCTCTAGGTGCTTCCGTATCTTCTGTATTACTCTTAGGCCGGGTTGGCAAACCGCTTTAGGTGCTGGACAACTAGGATGCCGTATCTGCAGGAAGATGGACTATGACTGCATCCCAGCAACACATGTATACCGCCACTAAACGAATATACCCGCGCAGTATAGATCGTGGACATTTGAACTCTGTGGCATGGTTCCTTATTTAGAACCCGTGCGTTGACGCCAGACCGAGGAGGAGGCAACGCATACCGCCAGAGAGTGTGCATGTCCCAAGCCGAATTTGGGAAAATTCATATTCGGAAGCTTTAAGGAAACGGGCTTTTTTCAGGGAAGGAGGAGGGGTGGAAAATGGCTTAACGCGAACTGTAATACGTAGTCGTGTTGCGGCCGCTCTTTAAAAAAACGTAGGGATCCTTTGACAAAAGGTAACGATAAACATAGCCATACACGCGTGGGCTTCAATACACAAGACAAGAGTCGCGGTAGGCATTTAAGTCCGAATTAAGAGAGAGCGTAATCAGATGCCTGGGTTAGAGTGAGAGAATTGATGGTTTAGAGTTATGCAGTCGAAATAGAAGGTTCCAGGGGCCAATCTTTGTGATCTTCACACGTTGTAGGTGTTTACTTTTAATTTGTGGTAATCTCTGAAATTGATAGAGAGACGGTTAGTTGAGATATTGAAGCAGGCCGTGAATGATGGAAACTATGTTTTATCGCAATTATTGAAGGAATGAAGGCGTATAACGGTATAAGTGAAAGAAGCCTCAAAACATGAATGGACAATAATAGAACTGAGCGCACTATCGAACTATTCCTAATTAAGACAAGAAAAAATATGGCCTGAAACTTTTCCACTCTCACAAAAAACCTTCAAGACACTTCGCCCACCATCCCTCCTCATTCTGTGTAGAAATCCTCAATTTCCATATCCGCACAATCCAGAAAAGATCCATTTGCAAAAAGACTACTATGAAAGCGTAGAAATGTGATCTGAGCAATTTGCTCATCACAACAAAATCAACGAACAAACAAAACCAACCCACAGAAACAATTCAAAACTTACAATCAAATAAAGAAAAAGACAGATAAGAAAAAAAACTCTCCAGGTCAGCTGGGAACCGGAACTATGGATTACCTTTTGAATTTTGGCGTTCGCCGGTCAGCGCGTATACAAGCGCATGGTGCGTGCTATTTTACGGTTTGGAGCAATTTCAAGCCAACCACGTGAAAAGTCCCTCATTGAACACCATAATCTTTCGTGAAGTGAAGTATTCGGGGAGGTAAGTGGAATGATAGAGCTAGGTTGGCTTTATCACCTGCATGAGGAATTTCAAAAAACGTTCCGGTCAGAGATTTTCCCGTTGTGAATCATCTTTTGTGATCCATCTGTGATCATTTTGTGAAGCGCGAGTCGGCTCCGCTTTGGGAGGGTCCTTGGAAGCTTCATACTACGAACTTTTTGTGAAAAAGAACTGTGCCGGAAGTTTGAGATTTCTATTTCCAGCAATGTTTTAATTATATCCTTCCTAGACTATTATTTGAAATTCCCTTGTCATTTTGTAATCAGCCCCCACGAACGAAAAAAAATCAGCACTCCGAGGCCATGAACTCCAGTTGGCTTGAAGACTTGGTATGCTCATTGAAAATGTTTGCAAAGGGTATTGACGATGTCTAGGGCGCCATTGGATACTATGAAAGGCCTGCATTGGGCTTCACGAGGTTTTAGAAGGTCTGAATTTAGAAGGGTTCCAATTGAGCGTGTGTCTCGAATCAGTAAATGTCCGGAATTGTACTTTCATTTTGTTTACCATTGGTCAGCGTTACGTGATCTTTGTTGTTTATAATTCCCGGTGCCCTTGTGGGCGGTGATCGTGATCTATATTAGCCCCTTGCGCCTTCGTACGTATATGTCAGTATGCTACAGCGCAGCGCCAGAGTGGACAGTGATTGGACGTAACGTAGGACTGCGACGTCCCCCCCGCCCGCCCCCGTCGACAGCAAATTTTGTAAAAAAAACTGTTTTTTTGTTGGGAAAAAGTAGACAAAGTGGTAGGAGGTTGGAAAAATCTAGGGAAAAGGTAACAGGGGGAGGGGGGTCGTACTTGAAGATGGAATTAGGGGGGGTCGTATTTTTCAGGAAATGATCACAACGCAATGGCGTGCCCTGCCGTAGACGAGACAAGGCAGCCGAAGGCGGGATCATGCTGCGCTGCTCTGGCCGCCCCGACTGGTTACAATGTTATAAACTATACATGTGAGCTGCCATGTAGTAAATCGATGAAAGTTACTAAGTAGCATTTTTAGGTGGTTTTCGAGTCAGCATCCCCGTCAGCTGTAGATCTGTTGAACGCCTTGTTCATGTATGATCCCAAGAAAAGAATTAGCGCTGCTGACGCTCTAGCGCACCCATTCTTTACGGTGAGCTCTTGATATATTTAACGCCAAATAGAAAGAGCTGGTTTTTTTACACCCAATGGGCGAATCACTATAATGTCGATAGACGCTTGTAATTTCCTGAATAATTTTCCTTGAGCACGCATTCTCACAGCAGCCTTCGAGACTTACTGTGTAGAAGTAAGACAGCTTTTCACACAGAGTAAGTGAAGGAAGGGAAGCACGCCCCCCCCCCCTGGCATAAAATGCAATTCTTGTCGGGGAATCGCACCATCTATCGAGGGACGCCGATCTACCTATCGTGCTGGGGTTAGCCATATATTTATTTGGCAGGTGGTCAAAATTCCAATTATTCAAATTACAATCCGGGCCTTCTTTACCATTTTTAAGAGCTTTGTTCTAGTGGCGAAATTCTGTGCAGAACAGACTAGCTTGCAAGTACAGAGGCAGTGAAAACTGAGAATTTGAGCATCTCGTATCAAGAGTGATCTTGTAGAGGGTTCTCTAGAGAAAAGAAATCACCTTAATGAGAAAATCATTTCAACTGATTTCTCCAAGTAATTGCTTCTTCAGGAACGTCCTCTGCCATGCGATCCAGTACTGATCCCATCGCTACCACCGAGTTACAGCAAGAAACGGAAAAGAGACGAGTCATCGCAGATATAGCGTACTTGGTCAATTCAATGTTGATTCTTATTGCTTTGTCAAATGTTGAATAGATTTTCTCAATAAAAGAGGATTCAACCTGCAACTCGCCACATCCATTTTCTCTCCAGAGTGAGCTAAAATCCGCTCAGATCGAACTCCACACTCACATCATCATATTCTTCCAGGAAGTGGCAATATATCGTTCTTTTTTATATGAAAATCGATGGAGGATCAATCACTCTGTCTAAAAACCAGGGCACATTGTTGTTGGGGAATCCCCAATAGGGGGGGGGGTCGTGTTTGGGCTATGAAAAATTCATTTTGGTAGTTGATTTTTATCGCTTCACGGACGTTTTAAAGGGAAGGGGTCGCACTTGGTCATTGTTGGGAGGGGGTAGGTGGTCGTTACTTAGGTTTTGGCGTGGTAGGAGCGTGGTTGACTTTTGGTTGACTTCTTGTGATTTGTGATTTTCCTGTTTCGTGCGTATTACATACCCCCCGCTCGGCGGCTCGATTCGGTTAACAGTGACACATGTGGTATAAGTCAGACTATGCCCATAAATGGTAGATATCCAAAATTTATAAACAGTCTCATATGAAAGCGAGAACAGCTGAACATAAAAAATGAAAAAGCTCGAAAGCCGAGGGGAGTTCAACCATCAACTCCCACCTTCCCTGACCGATTGAAAATCCTCCACGCTATCCACTAGGATTTCCGATTTTGTAGCTGAACACCGCTCCGATCGTTGAAGAATCCATTTCGGCGAGCCGCTCAGAGGCGCTTACTCCTAATCACTTGCCACAAATAAGACCCCATTTGCGACTATTTTCTTCATGGATTCACTGAGACTCAAAAATTCGGTTTCCATCGGCTTCTTCTTTTTGGTACTCCCAGAGGCGTTCAGAAAAATGAACATCAGTTTGGTACTTCATCCAAGTGACCCCACATCATGCAAAAAGCAGTGTTCAAAATGCGCTCCACGTCGTGAATGACCTCCTGGTAAGGGGGGGGGGAAGGTGCGCTTCTCTTTTTTTTCAAGAGGCTTCTTAGAAAGAGCGAGCGAATGTTTTCCCTAATACTAAAGTTTTGTACACGACACGGCAGTTCTGATGAGCTGATTTCAGGCTATGGAAGTGACCGTATCAAAGGCAACTACCGTTGAGCGTGTATCACGGTTGCTCCGAACTAATCGTAAAAGTTTGGTGGCTGTTCTGGAAATGTTCGTCTACAACCCAGTGATAAGCCGGCGACTGATAGGGTGTTGATGCTTTCAATCTCTTTACCATCCTCTGCGATTCTTTTCATTTACCGGCTTAGTAGATTTATTAGTTAGTTTTTTATATTGTCCTTATTTATCAGCCGAGTATGGTAATAGTTTTTAATGGCGAATTTCAGTTAGTGAGCGGAAACTGGGTAATTTATAATACAATATATTAAAACGAAGTTCTTTAGGAACAGCAGTACTTGTGTGAAGCATGACGTCACCCGAAGGAAGACGCTACACAAAGCGCCTCGAATCGTTCGAGAACGTGTCATTGACAGAATTAAGCACAAACTGGCCGGTAAGTTCCTTAATTTGTTGGCGACGGTAGTAACTAGTATTTTTTATAAGTCAATCTCGGCCAACTAAGTAGTACTTCCATACGCTTGTTCAGGTAGCGTTATCGGAGTGGATGTACAGGAACAAGTTGGTCGCCTTGTTGAACATGCAACACTTCAAGAGAATCTTTGAAAATGTTATGTAGGATGGTGCCCATTTTGGTAGCGCCAGCAACCATTCATTTTTTGTCGTTTTCCTTTTTATTGTGGTAGGTATAGCTTGAACCCAACCGTTCTCCATCTCTTCTTAGAGATATGAGTATTGAAAGTCAACTTGTCCTGGGTAACAAGTACTTGTTAACGTTGTGCAATCAATGCAGCTAGGAGAGAATTAGTATCTGTAGTTTTCGTAGCAATTGCTGTTTTATCAAGTTGTTAGGGAGTCAGAGCATTGTAGCTTCATATTGTTAATAGAAACTTTAAATGAACAATTACATTCCTTTGTAGCTTTCGCTTTTTTTTCGGAAAATATTATTTTGGTTGCTGCCCTCGGCTGTGTTTCCCAGGCGGGCTCAATAGAGCTGATCGCGGACAGGTCACAGTGAACAGTGAACCCTCTTCCCTTTTTTCGCGTATCTGCAAAACTTCCCGCTCTATGATCATAGTGCAGACAACAACCCGCAACTTGAAAAGAGCTCGTTTCTCAATTTTCTCAAATCAATTTGAAGCAGTCTCAAATTTTTTTTTTAAATTCTAGTATGCTCGAAGATGACAAGAGCTTTTCTCGTTCATCTGTGCTGGATGTTCACCTTCTACGATTCACGAGAGTACGAGAAAAAATTCACTGTAACTATTGGTAATATCCCAAAAAGGTACAAAAGTTCATGGGCCACAGGTGGCTTATGTTGTTCGCTATCTTACTCTCGCTTATGGGAAATCGGTGACCCATGATGTCGACAGCAGCCGAAATGCTATTATGGTAAGTGGTGAGGGAAGGTTGTTGTTAATGAGTACCAGAGTTCCATTCAAAGTTTTTCCGCTGCCTTTGTGGGTCTCCCATTGAATAGTGGACACAATAAAGTGAAGTATCGCTTTGTTATAGTAAAGTACACACGACTCGTGAGATGTGGTCTAAATAAAAGCAGTAGGAGCCATGGAGGATTATCATCAACCCGTGCACGGTCGCTTGTGCTTTCTCCACGCTATCAGCATCGAAGGATGAAATTGGTCACCTTGGCTCTTCTGCTGTGCATAGCTTATTCAGTAATGGGAGATGATTGTCAAGTCTTCCATTCGACATTCGGAGTGTACAAAGGAAAGTTCGCTCGCAATCCGTTCAGAAGTCACTTCATGAACTTTGTACGTTATACCAAAATGATCAGTTTTCTCAGAAGGCTATTGTGATTTCACTATTAAGTGAACAATTTGTAGAAAGATTCTGACCTGGTCAAACAATTGAGGATGAAGATAGATGGTGTGTCTCTCGACGTTATTGAGATCCAGAAGGTATGTGTCGTATCAGTTTGTGAGCTGCAAACACGTTTTACATTGTCTCTATGGGCAAACTGTGCAACCATATCCGAGGACGTCCTTTGCCATATGCGAGGAAAAGGGCTCCGCAGCAGTGCCGTCTCAGAACAGTTCGTGACTGCGAATCCCGTCATCCTCCCTACATTCCTCACCATCCTTCTTTTTCTCCTGTCATTGCCTCTCTTTCTTCTTGCTTTTGCCCTCCTTTCGAATTCCCTTCGAATGCATTTAACAGAATGCATTAAACCAATAAATGTAGAGGAAAATACCTATAGATCCTCCCACCGAGAGAATGCTGGTTAACAGAAGACCAGTAACCGCAGCCGTGCAAGTGTAAACCTTTGTCACATGATCGTGCGGGGAAGTAACGCTGAAGGACGTACACTTCTGCCGGCTTAGGGACTCCGCCTACCGTTCTCAAATGCGCTCAAAACAATGATGACGCAGTCAAAGTAAGAGAGCAACCAGACGTGAGAGTTCGTAGGCAAGTAGCGCGTTCGGCCAAGACTGGGCGTGCGATGACGCAGGAGCAGCCCGGATTGATACCCGAGTATCATTGAACTCTGGATCCGTTCTGTGCATCCTTAAGGATGGGGGGAGCAGGTTACGGCGACATGCTGGAGCTGTAGATTACCCGTCCACATGTGGCTAAATCCTTGAAATATGTCACGTTGGCGGACGTGGAGAGCGACACCATACTGAAAAGACAATTGCGGTGCCTCTTGAGTTTCAGTGTTTGAGATCTTCTAGTGCATATTTCTGTGATATCTCCATTTTCAGGCCGACAATTCTAGACACTACATGACAATTGGCAGTGATGCAAAGGCGAAGCCAATTCACGAAGAGGAGTTCGCCGCCTATGCTGACAAATGTGGCCAAATCTGAGAAATGTGCCTATTCCGTTCAATAACTATGAGGCATGACTGCGATTGCTAACTGCGTGCAGAGTAAATCATTTTTCGCACCGATCTTACAGTACAGTAGTGCAGTAATTTCACATATTCAAATTTATTACTTCAGTCAGGCTAGGCGGTTCTCCCAAATTGGTTAGCAACCAATCACAGCTGAAGGGGCAGAGCAGCCGAGCGGCTCGTCATCGTCTGATTGCTATGTCGCAAATCATGTACCATTACTTTACATGTAAAAGAAAACTGCTGGGGGGTCGCCACATATGTGAAGAGTGTGGTCTCCATGTGGAACGCAGTTCAGTTCGACTGAGAATCAAACCTGTAATGGGACTCTAACGGACTACACTGTCAACCCAACTTGCACTCAGAACGAGGTTGAATACACCAACAGTCCATGAGAAACAAAGCAGGCTGGGCTCTGCTTAAGTGACCTACATCCACACAGTGCGACATCACACTCTCGGCATCATCCCTACCGAACACAGAAAGGATTATGACCGCAGACAGTTGAGCAGATGTCACACTGCTGTAAGCTGCTACATGTCTAAATAAGAAAACATAGATGATATTATATGACGCGTTCGAGGCGGCGTGTATACTACGGGGAGTACACAACAAACTTCTCTTAGGCGAATCGTGCGCAGTCGTCATCCTGGAGGTTGATTAAAGCGGCAAGTCGCAAGGCGGCTGCGACTTGTTATGAGAGCTTCAATCAGCTGTCTCCTGCTTATTCTTGCCATTTTCTCCCTAATTTAAACTATTTCGGTTGTTTTTCTCTGACTAGTTGTTCTTTGTCTTCACGAGCTAAGTTACGATTAACCCATTGACGACTGCGTGATAAGCATGCGCGTTGTACGAGTATACTAAGAGGTGAACTGTAGAAAGAATAGGAGAAAAGAAGATGTGGATTGGCTTATAGTGATTTGTATACAATGCTCGTGGTCCCACGTGACCTACAAAGCGTGCATTGAATGCTTACCACGCGGTACTCAATGTGTCAATCGTAATTTACCTCGTGAAGACAAGGAACAATTAGTCTGTGAAAAGTAACCAAGTAGTTTCTGGTGCTTCGAGGGAGCGTAGAAAAATAGGAGGTTATCAGACACCGCGAAAGCAAGGGCTAAGTCGCAAGGGCAATAAACGGCTGTAGCATTAAGTTATGAGTGGAAGCGCACGAACTTGTTACAGTGCTTTCATCGCCTACCTGAACGCTCGAAGGCAAATGGCGCGATAGTTGTACGCGGTCTTGAATGCTATCAGGTGCTATACAGTGGGGAGACTGGCAAAAATAACGTGCCAATAACAGCTGCAGCAGATACAGCTGCATGTCCGTACTCATATATTCATGCAATACCACCGCCGCTCATACCAATCCGTTCGCTCCATATTTTACTTTACAAATGAAGCACCTGGTGCATCAGCTGCGGTCGTCCGTTTGTGGGAGGACGGAGGGTGGGCGTCCGGATCGGAGAGGTCTTCAACGTGACTCAAATGAAGTAGCCCCTCTTTCAAGCAGTGCGGGACGGTTCACCGGGTCCTCGTGCGAGGGAGCGAAAAATAGCAATAGCAGAGCCACAAGCAAACCAAGCCACCGACACCACTCAACAGCTTGCCCTCATAATAGCCATTTCAGCGATTTTCAGCGCCTCAGCTCAACTAGCTCAAAGTGTCTTACGATGAGCCAGAACGTGGTTGTTTTCTGTTGCTTACACTACATTTCCTGCATAGGGATTTTGATTTCTATGAGTAACGTAGAATAAGCAATGTAATTTCATACATTTATTGAGGACTGTCATAAGATGGAACTAAACCCAGAGTTGGCGTTCCGATACCGGAGTGGCATAATCATCATGAGGTCCTTTCGGTTTGCAGCTGAAAAGTCTGTCTAGTCGCAGATGAGGAATGCCAGAACTCCATCAAAAACTCACTTGGGATCCGCCTCATCGCAGCACATTTTACAAGATTCCATGCATTTTGCCTTCTTTTGTTCCCTTGTGTGGAACTGTGACTCACAATACTTTTTCGGGACCTTCTCTTTACAACTACAACGAGGAAAATTTCGTTAGTTCACGACGTGGTGCTAAGAGAGCTCCTGTGGTGTTGATTTTGGAGCTCTACTATAAGTACTGTTCTGGCTCGTTGTCCTTGCAGGGGTCTTCCTCCTTTATCTTGCTAAAGAGGGTGGCATGTACGACTACCAAATTGACTGGGACGGCCACTGCTGTTTTCATAGTATCCTGTAATTTTTGCTAAGAATCATCGCGATTAATTAAGGTGAATCAAGTGCGAGAGAGTACCTAGTGCTTCCACGGCCAATCTTTACACACAGCAAATCGAAATCTAAAAGCAATCAAAATTTCGAGAGAAACATTCGTCCGCACTTTCTGATTTCAACATGTTACTGTCGGACTGCACCTTACAAAAAAAAGGATCATAGCGGAGCTGAACCAACACAGCTGAGTGATTCATCCCGTGGATCAGCATAACCCAGATACTGCCCATTTCAATTACTATCTGTTTTCCGAACAAGCTCATTAGCAGACAAGAACGCTATGGCTTGAGCCTAAAAATTGATATGCGTTCACCTTCGCGCTGGGCTGGCCTGCTTTGTGAAGTGATGGCATCCATAAGGATGCTAGCGATGTCCCGCGATAACAGTCGCGGTATTCCTCTTCACCTTTACCTGCTCCCACGAAGGGAAACTCAACAGCAAAGATAAGATAGGAGTTCCAGCCAAACCAACCTATTTGTTGTGCTTACCCCCTCGCTTCCATACCTTCTGGCTCCACGTAAAAGGGAAAATTGCCATGGCAGCGATCAAAATAGTATGTGTGTAACGTAAATCATATGTATGCAAATCGCGCAGTAATCGTAAATAAACGGTGAACTGAGTTCAGAGCGAACCCAGAAGAGCTCTATGGGGACATGGAGGATCGCTATAAAGAGGTAACTCACTGATATAGAGCCTACGGCAGAAGCTTCCCTGAATATAGAAGGTGTCGATTGCGGAGACTCGTCCATACTTTGCGACAGCGAACCCCACCGTCCACGAGCGATCAGCAGCGTTGCGAGCGTCCATGAACGTACTCAGCAACAGCGAATAGGAAGGTATAGATCGATCTAACGTTACCTGTATCCAGCAGCGTCAGCAACTGGTAGGGAGTAGATAGGTAGCAAACAACTACTCACTATCTTCCCACACTGCACCTTTTCTCTGCTACCCCCTATCTCCCAACACTCCACCAACTCTCTTCTATCCTCGAACCCCTCTTACTCTCCACTCCTAAACACGGTTGATCGCTGGCGGGCCGGGGTGACGTAGATCGATCTATATCTCCCTATTGTGTTTTTTTTATTGTTGTTATTGTCGCATTTATTTGAGAAAGTACAGGGCAGTGGAAAGGTACGCCTCCCTTATACGAAGTTGGTATCTTTCGGCTCTGGCCGCTGTGTCATGAGAGAGTATGGAAGAATAGGAGGAATCATCGCGTGAAGGCAGCGCCTTAATTACTGTTGCCCGGCACTCTCTTAAAACGTAAGCGACCGGTGCCGATCGATTCCCGTCGCGACTGCGTTCGCGTCTATAGCACTGGAGCTTCCGAGCAGTGGAAGCGCGTCAACGCGCCTTACGCGCCTGTCACGCGAGGGTGACTCTCTCTGGAGAAGCCGTCAACTAGGTTTCAAGTGAAGTAGTTCTTTCAGGCAGTAGGACACCGTTTACTCTGCCGACGTGCGAGCGATCAAGAGAGAGCAATAGCATCCTTCTACATACAATCAGCTATGTCCGTGTGTGTGGTGTATTTATTTGTTTGTTTGTTTTGCTTGCTTGTTCGTTCGTTTGTTTGCTTTGTTTCTTTGTCACGAATTTCATAGCACTTGAAGAAGAACTTGCAGGGGTCGGGTCACGATGGGGATGGGTAGGGCATGGGACAAAACCTAAACAACACCCGTGGCCCATGGTGCCCTGCCCGCAGTGGGGCTTACCATTGGCCACGGGTCTTGTTTAGGTCGAAAGTTAGAAGTGTCACTGACAAAAGTCAGTAACTCTGTTGCAGAACAGTCCGGAGGTGAGGGTACAGTGCAGTAGAATTAGCAAAGGGTTGGTCGACCAAATAGAAGAGACACACCCGAAATGGGGCGGGGCGTCCCCGAGACGGGCGGCGCTTCCCGTGTCACTGAGAAAAGCAATAACTTGGTTACAATAAGCCCGGAGACGGGAAAAAATGGAACAAGCTTAGCATTGAGTTGGCAGAGGAAATGGAGGAGACACCCCAAAATGGGCGGGGTGGGGTGGACTTGAGGTGGGCGGTGCTTCCCACAGAGGCCAGTAACTCGGTTTCCAAAATAGGTCAGAGATCGCAGAAAAGTCCATGACAATGATGAACGTCTGGCAAGAAACCAAAGATGTTTGCGGCGTGCTGAGCCACGGCCGTGCATTTGACCACGATGTATCAGTCAAAAAAAGTCGTAGTTCGGTCCTAAGGCCCTACAAACGGCGGGAATCGTGAGGCACTCCCGTTGTAGACTTCGAGTTGGGCGGAGCTAAATTTGAGAGGTTCCTGAAATGGTTGTTCCATAGCACTCCGACGCAGTGAAAAAATACTTTGAGATAAGGGAGGGGTCATGGTTCACAAGTGTGAGGCACACCCGCTAAGGGCGGGGCGTGCGGCGAGGTGAACGGAGGAATATCGAAAAGATTCCTGAAACGGTCGTTCCAGAGCACTCCAGATACGGTGAAAAAGTACTTTGAAATCAGAGAGGGGTCATCGGTTCACAAGTGTGAGGCACACCGCTGTGGGCGGAGAGTGCGGCGAAGTGGGTGGCGTTAAACCTGAAAGATGCCTAAAACGGTTCCTGAATGCACCAGAACCGGGAAAAATAGTGAAAGACCAGGGAAGGGTCATCGCAGAAAAGCGCGAGGCCTACGTTGTAGGTGGAGCGCGCTTCGAAGTGGGCGGGGCCGGTCTCAGGAACTCTTCAAGCGGTTCCAGAGCACACCAGGCCTTCTTTGTGATACGACCCGGGCTTGTGGGGCATATTCCAACGGGACTGCTTGCATCGGTATGATCGAATGCTCGACTAATACCTGGCTTTTCTCTCATCTATCCATTTGATCCACGCTTCTCACCACTGTTCCATACACCGAAATAGTTCTGAAAACAGCAGGTATGATTTGGATGAGCATGCTACTGGTCGAGTAATGTTGACCATCTGCTCAAATAAAGGAAAAGTCAGATATAGGTAGGTATTGAAATGTGTGGGAGAAGGTAAGCGGAGCCGCGCCCGCTCAGCGAAGCCGTCCTGTATCTCGGAAGGAGGCGCGCCGGCTGGTAGCATATAAGTGTACTAGAAGACCGATACAAACTGCTTGCCCTCAAGAGGAGCCGTATGAAAATCGTCACTCCAACGCAACTACTCAAAGTGTCTGGCGATGAACTTAACATTGCTGAACTTTGTTGCTCACATTACCTTCTACATAGGATTTCCATTCCTATGAATAGTAGTAGAATAAATTGAAATTCCATAGTTTTATTGAGAAATGCTATAAGGCAGAACTAAACCCAGGGTCGTCGCTCTGACACCGGAATGGCGTAGTCATCGTAAGGTCCCTTCGGCTTGCATCTGAAAATAGTCAAGTTGATATCTGAGCCATGACGAGAAACACCAGAACTCCATCCAAAACTCACTTGGGATCCGCCTCATCGCAGCACATTTTACATGATTTCATGCATTTCGCCTTTTTTTGCTCCAGTGTGTGGAACTGTGACTCACAGAATCCTTTCGGGACCTTCTCTTTACAGCTGCAACAAGAGAAATTTTGTTAGTTCACTAGGACGCGCTGCTAGGAGAGTGGCTGTGCCATTGATGTTTAAGCTACTACACGTACTATTCTGGCTCGTTGTCCTTGCAGGAGTCTTCCTCCTTTTTCTTACCAAAGAGGGCGGCGTGAACAACCACCAAAATGACAAGGACGACGATTGCTGTTTTCATAGTCTCCTGTGATCATTGCAAGAATCCTCGCGATTATTGGGGTGAATCAAGGGTATGAGAGAACCTAGTGAATATTAAGCGAACGCTTTGGAACAAGTGGGTGATACCTTTACATCACTGCACCAGCTCTTTTTTTAGAACCTCTACGAGTTTTGAACAGCTGTCTCCCATGCGGAGTTTCCATTGTCTCTATTTACTTGAAAGAAACTCTATTTATTTAAAGAAACAATGTCATGGGTGATGCAAGGAGAGCAAATTTATCACGTCAACCTTCATTTTCAGAGGAACTACCTCACAAGGGAGGTCGTTCAAGCCGTGGTGAGCTTTTTCAAAACGATTTGTTGCATGTTGTAGATGTCCATATAAGACCACACAGATGGGTTTCATTTTTGCTAGACGCTATTGGGAATGTCAAAAAAGGAAAAAACAAATCGCTTGAAATACGCAAGTTTTATCATCCCATTCGCATCTGCTTCAGCTGTAAAGCAGAATATATAGTTTATATAGTGCTTTTCAACTAGACATGAAAAAGAGCATTGAATAAGGTTGAAATACAAGTGCCTCACTTGGCATACAGTGAGGTACACTGCCATTTCTTTAGGGACTTATGCAGCATCCCTTCGCGCTCCGCAGTGGCCTTTTAGCGCCACGCTGGCCCAGATCACGTCGGCGCCATAAATAACTGTCAGAATCATGATCAGAGCCATTGATTACCCCTGTTTAAGAGGTTTCAGCGGAAAAATTTTTTTGAGTTTCTTTAGTGGTCATGGACCTGACTGTTGGATGGCAGTGACAGGCGAACCCTCCGTTAAGTATCCTCTCTGGCAGACGGACCGCCAGAAACTTTTCATTTCTTGCCCCTCAACTTCAGTAGCTCTTCATAGAGCAATCGTGCTAACATCGGAGTCACTGAACGAGGATCCTGGATCTTTCTTCACTTTTACCGTCTATGCTTTCGAAAGAACTCGTTACCACTTGCCCGGAGAAAGGTTTTTGTTTCTCATAATCAGAGGTATGAGAGGAGTGCAGTGTATGTGCGTCACTTTTTTGTGTACTTTTAAGTTCTGCGTCTGCATACTAGTAAATGAAACGCTTTGTCTTAATGATGTTGGATAACGACTCCTTGGGGAGGGAGGGCTGATAGCCACCTAGCTGGAGACATGGCCGGCAACATAACACAAAAAGCTCGGGAAAACTTTTCTCGTCGTAACTCTATACGTAGGGGTAATTGATGGTCCTGATACGGTTGAATACTTATTTTTGCTACGGAGGCCATCTGGGGCCAGTAAGGCGCTAAGAGCCCCGCCGCGCGAGACTGACAATGATGGTAGTACGAGAAAGCCTTTGCACCAAATTAGCGACACATTGCGCCATATTCAAAAATGAGTGTCGTGTTCATAAACAGAGCATTGGCCGCCTTAACCCAAGTTTCATGAAGAGTTTTTTCGATAGTATTTCGTCAGCGTAATATTGAGTGAGGCCTATTTGTAAACCGTTCCCGCATGGGAATGTGCCTTCAAATGGCGTATATCCGGGTCATACACATTATGGGGATACAGGAATACAAGGAGCTCGTGAAAAATGCAAAAATTGTGTCGGCAAGGGGACCCGATCCCAAACCAGCCGACCGCAAGCCCGTCGCACTATCCACCACACATCTGCCACTGCGACATTAGAGATACAGGACCTGTTGAAGAGATATGCTCAGATGACCGGAAAACTCCAATGCAGCTCACCGCGTGCCAAGTAGACCATTTGGATTTTGACCTTATTTTGCGCTGTTTTTCATGCCTGTCAAGGAATACCCTACATACTATACCTGTCAACTCTACAGCTAGAACAGAGGCGAATAAGGTAATTTAAAAAGCCCATTCTTTTCGAATTGCTTTTGACATTTTTTTTGACATTCCCAGAACCGTGTAGCAAAATAAACCCCATCGCTATGGTCCTTGCATGGACCCTACAACATGCCAACAAACCGTTTTGAAAAGCTCACCACGGCCTGAACGACCTCCCTTGTCAGAAGAAACAATAAAGAGCAACTAGTCAGCGTGGGATGCACCGCTCTCGTCCATGCTGAATGAGAGAACCGCAAAGGCGACTCTTCATCATGAAATGATTATCTATGGAGAATCAGGATCAGTACGTGACTAGGATATCACCATATCTCTCCGGCTGCAGCTCAAATACATGCCTTGCGGGATAGATTTAGGGGATTTGTAAAAAGGACTCTGAGGCCTCGGGGGATTAACGACACTATGTTTCAGTGTATTTACTATATATATGTCTGTGGTGAGAGTGAAGCCCTTACTGGCGAGTCATCTTGACCCCATGCTACGGTGAGAATGGGCCCAAGAAGCATCGTCGTCTTCATACTGCATGACAACGAAGGATGGCACAGTCTTCTGAGACGGCGATAGGCCCCGTGCTCACTCAGATCCTAGTACTTCCTTGCCAGGTAGTCCGGTCGTAATCTCAAAGACTGCCCCACTTTCGTCGCCTCCACAGCGGTAATATGGACCGATAATTGAAGCAATATCACACAAGTTTCTCTCTATGTTGTTAGAATTGAATAGAATCAATATTGAAGCTAAGAAACCCTGTGGTCTTGTTCTGCTAGGACCACTCACTTGCTTAGTACTTTTTCTTTTTAGCTATGGACTACGGCTTCTTCTCGATACGCTTTAGTCCTGGGGAGGAAGAAAAGCCTTAATGTTCATTTGAGCTCAGTGTAAGTCAGCTAAGGCTCGTGAAAATAGATAACTGAGTTACTTTCAGGGCCGGTCTTTACACAGCACCACGAAAATCCAAAGCTATTTTTCGATCATACGCACATTTGTCTGCACAGTCTGCATTCAACGTCACAGGAAGCAGACCACGCCTTGCAAAAAAGGTCACACGAAGCACAAGCAACACAGCTGGATGGCCTCTCTCTTTGCTTCGATAGAATCCGTTCATTGCTGTTCTCATCTGCCAGTTCGTTACCTGGACAAGAAAAGCTTCATGATCCCGCCTCTGGTCAAAAACAAAATGACGTTCAACCTTGTGGGGTGAGGCAAGGGGGGGGGGAGGAAAGAAGGTATGCTGCGAAGCGGTGATATCCTGAGATGCTCAGCAAAGATCCCACAATGAGAGCCGTGAATATATTCCTTCTTACACTTTCTCCTAGAAGAGTAAGCCCTGTCTCGAAAAAATTTGAGGGACTCTCCCTCCAAGCTGGGATATGTCTCTTTTTCTTACCTCTTCTGATCATCATTCACTCATTCCTTCTCTCTACGGCTCATGAAAGTAAAGTGAACTAATTCCATGGCCGATCCTTACACACAACTAAATTGAGATCGAAAGGCAATCGCCAATTCCAGAGAAACCCACTCTGATTTCAATATGATATGGTCGCACTGCACCTTACAAAAAACAGCGGAGCCGAACCAACACAGCTGAATGTCTCATCCAGTGAATAGGCATAGAGCTGATCCTGGAAATCAAGATAGCTTCATCTTTGCATCGGCCGGCCCGCATTTGAAGTGGTGCATCAATAAGTGCCCGAATGCTAGCAAAGTCCCGCGATAGCAATCATGGGTATTTCAATCACATCTTTTCACCTTTACCTTCTCCCGATGAAGTTAGAAACTTAACTCAAAGGATAAGATAGGATTCCCAGCCAACCAACCTATTTGTTGTGCTTACCTCCATTAGCTCCCATCCACTTCTTCGACTCCAAGTGAAAGGAAAACTGCTATGGCAATGATCAAAAATAATATATGTGTAACGTGAACCGTATGTATGTAAAATGCGCCAGTTGCAAGGACAAGGTGAAGCGATCCACGAAGAGCTCCAAGAGGATATAAAGGTTCGCTCCAAAGAGGCACCTCTTTGAGATAAAACCCACGCAGAAGCTGCCCTGAATAGGACTAGGTGGCAACTACTATAACTGCGTTCATATCCAGCAAGTTCTCTCTTGATGTAACCTCAGCATCGCCGTTTGTTCTGTTTATACTGCTGTGCCACTCGAGGTTTTTAGGTGGAAATTTTCCAAAGAACGGCCTAACGTTTTGACTTGCTCGTCTTCTTGAGAGGCCTAAACACATTTCGAGGCTAGGAAATGAACACTACCTCACTAAGCTCTCAAGCATCCTAGCAGTGCCTATGGCATGTTCGGAACTCAACGAAAAAGCCTTACACAACACGAACATGCACTCACCAAGCTTCCACACTGGATCCGCAGTCACACGCGAATAGAATTCAGTAGTATATGAGACTTACTATAGACTATATATATCTCCTCAACACGCTCGAAAGTGAATAGACGGAGTATCACCGTCTACTTAGTGCTCGCAATACGGCATGAACGGCCGAAGTCATTTGTCACTGACAGATATTCGTCCCCGGCTGTTCATCCTAGGATTTCTGACTGAAATCCGAACGCCTCTAAGCCCTTTCTTGCCGAAAGTTCCGTCTCTTGCGTCAATATTGTACAACTGATTTCGAAGCTGTTGCTATCATGCTCCTCAGATTTATGCCTCCAAGCGCTGTCGAAGAGCCTACCACGCGTCTTACCAGCTAGGTTTTCGTTATTCGTATATCTAGCGGCTTTCCAGTCTCCCTAATATATGTATGTAATAAAATATAATAATATAATATAATATAATATACCACAATGTAGCGGTGGACAGCGCAGTAACATGCGAGAAGCCCGTGTCCCAACAAATTACCACTATGCCTTCCTTTCATCGCCGATACGGTAGGCACTGCCAATACGACGAAGCATTGTTAGGGAACAGTTGCAAGACTGTTCAATTAGTTATCATCCCCCATTTGCAACATCGAGTACGGTAAAAAGTGCTAGAAATATATATAGAAATCTAGGAATTGTGTTATTTGTCCACAATGGCAGATCTGGCTATTGCGCAAAATCGCTCGTACTGCTGATCTACCAAATAGTGTCTGGCGTGTGGCATACATACATATATTAGATAGACTGGAAAGCCGCTAGATATACG